ACAGTTAGTAAAAATTGTCTTCCACGCCTGACACTATGTGTTCTGACAGGAACGCCCCGAAGGAGAGTAATGCCTCTCCCCACGAAGAAGGTTTCAGGGCTTCACGGGAGACAACGATGTGTTTCTAAAGCCTTACTTCCCCCAGGCTGGGCTGAGGAGCAGTGGAAGTTGAGAAGACTACTATCTCTCTCCACATCCAGTGGTCAGCTTCCAAGAATCTCCTTCTCAGGGATGTTCCAGGTTTTGGAAGAAGCAGAATTACTGGGTGCATTGGTCAGTGCATGTGCTGCCCCAAAGACACAATTGCTGCTGTTGTGTCAATCTTATATTTTGCCCAGAAAAAGAAACATGTGAAGCAGACCTTTGGTCTGCTAATCCCAGCACCTTGTGCAAAACAGGCCTCTGTCCACACACATGTGCTCAGGACCAGTCTTTGATCTAAATGTCATGCTCTGGGAAATGGTGAGACCCCCTGGCAGTGTGACTAAGCACGAGGCAGCACACTGCATTGGGAAGAAACATTGTGGTACCAGATTTCCAGAAAGCAGCCATTGATTTGATATACCTGCATTCGTAACAGCAAGAATTACAAACGTTTTGATTTTTCCAAGTAGGACAACAGCACGCTGTAACGGTTTTGCACCTGCAAAACATGCCACATTTCCTTGCCTTGCTGACATCTGCTTAAAGTGGAACAAAAAAGATATATAGCAAGGGAGATGTTATCACATTTTGACAAGCTCTCCCCCCCTCACCCCCACCCTGTCTTTGCAGCTGTCATCTCCTAGCTAAATTTCACTTTGTTGTTTTAAGTGCCTTGGCAACTTGGCCAAGAGGGATGGTCCCTCATCAGGTTTTTGCAGTAATAAGTGGAAATGAAGCCTGAACCATCACTGCATGAGAAGCACTGGCATCAAACGCAATTCTAACTCAATCTCTTTAGTGCGAGAAGTATCAAATTCCTCTCCTGGGAGGCAAGAGGGGGGCCATGCAGGCAGTGCAGAGAGCAGGGAGGGAGGAAGAGCGGGTGTGATGGAAACTTGCAATATAACGCGGAAGAGCCTGGTGCTCATTTAAAGTGGTTGTAATCAGATGGAAATATCCCCAGGGGGGAAGCAGAGAGGAGTCTGTGAAAAAAAATATTCTGGGAAAGCGCACGCGGGGGGGGGGGACAAGAGAGAAGCAGAATTAATTTTTCATTCTCTGGTGTGAAAGATGCTTCCACTTTTATTAGCGCAGTTGTTCTCAAATCTGCAGGAAAAAAATGCACTCACATCCGGCTTCATAGGAGAAGCCAGCTGTCAGGCTGAAATGGAAAGGAAGGTGCTTACATCAGTGGTGTAATTAACAATTGCTGCCTCTTACTGTGGTGCTCAAATGCTTTCTCTGGCACAGG